CCTGTCGTACTGTCATTATTAAACATTAATTTAACGTAAAGATTGAAATCTCATTCCTTTCCTCTTTTTTTTTTACATTGTAATAATATTACAATCACTGATACGCAATGACACACACACACTCATACAGGCATACCCAAGCAAACTCGTGTACCTATATTATATTATATGTTTATCCCGCATGAAATGACCTAGACATTGTTCCCCACCAAAAACGTAATTCATATCGTGGTTATTTAATTGTAATAAAGATAAAAAACCTAATAAAACAATAATCATTATGATTATTATCAATAAATAGATAATACGTATTTAATATAGATATTATACATATAAACACATTACGTATGGTACCTTACCTACCTGTATTATATTATGTTTATCAAAATTCCAAAAAGTTAAAAATTTGCATTCCCACGAGATTTATAATCTTAATACATCCGGGTGCCCAATTAACGTTATTATTTATTTTGCTATGTTGCGATATTGTATGCTATCAATCCTAATTACCTATTAATAATTATACAATGTAATGTTGTTGTACAGATTGTAAATAATTTATTAAAAAAAATCTTAAAATATAATTTAGTTTCAATTAGGTTCTTCAAAATATACGAGATGAAAAAAACTTTTATAAGTAATCCAACTCGAATCTATATGTATCTAATGTAATATAAAAGTACTGAGGTTAAACTTGAGTAGGTGTATTCAGAACAAAGCTAACAGTTAATGAACACTGTAAAAGTGTAAAATGTTCTTGTTCATTATTTTATGTAGCGTTTCTCAAGTTCTTTTATGTAGGTATAGAACATTTATCTTGAACTCGAACTTTGTGTAGTCTCATAAAAACATAACATACAAATAATAAACATACTAACAAATTTCGTTTTTGTGACATTTTATATTATACGAGTAAATTTTGTATTATTTATCCCAACTGTTAAAAAAAAATAACAATGAACTGCAGACTGCAGTATATAATATATAATATAATAGGAACAATTTGAATATTAACCTCGAACCTACACAATTTGATCTTTAATGCTTGATTAAAAGTTGTAATTTATATTATTTATTATACCTTTAATGAAAATCTAATATATTATATAGATTTTATTTGTTTCAGAACTTAGGTTTATTTTCGTGCTGTCATTATGGATCACTGCAGCCAGTTCGTTGTACAAAATCGGTATCGGAATTGCCGATGTAACGGGGCCTGCAGCAGGTGTTACTTTTGTGAGAATTATTTTGATTTTGATTTTTATGACAAATTTTATTCGTCACTTACCGTAAGAAATTATATTACTTGAATGAAACATTTACCCTGTTGCAATCTTTGCACCGACATATGAAGCAATACTAAAACTGATCCTTCTCACCCGGAAAACAGTAATTTATTGTAATAAATAATTTTAAAAACAAATTAACAACAATTGAAATTTTTATAGCAGTCAGCTAAAAACGTCTAAGACAATTTCTTAATGATATAATAATGGTTGTATAATATTATTTTGAATTTAAAAATCAAATATTTTACATGTATATTAAATACCTATTGTATTTATATTAAGTCGATTAAAATAATACTTTCTTTATTTTAAAGGTTGACTTATAGGCTGTTAAACTTAATTGTTAATATACATTTCGATTTTGAATATAATTTGATCAATTTATAATAAATTATTTGCAGACTTCAACATTATTATAATTATATTTTGATAACCCACTCACATTTCTTTCATATTTATTTTGTTTTAATGAATTTATGGGTTATAAGTTTATAACTAAGGATTATAGTCGGGGTTCAAATATTTCATAAACATCAATTAAATTAACTAAAATCAGTTAACTATAATAATGTACATTATCGCTAGGAAAATAAATGTTATAAATTATAATGATTACGTATTATTACCATACAATATTGTAAATTTCACAAATAAACATATAAGTATATCTCTGAGGAATGCCCAAAATACAAATCGATACACTTAATAACTCTTAATCTGCTATGCAATATTAAAAAAGCCCTCAACGAAGACGAAGCTACAATAATTATCACCTTTACTTCTCAATGTAATTTACTTTTATTTAATATTATAAACATTAGCAAATCAAACATTGTAAATATTCCCACTCTGTTATCATAAAATACATTTAATAATGTGGGCTAACAACCCGTAATTCCATAGGTAGGTAATAAAATTTTTTTAAAAATTATCAATAATAGCCATTTCTAATATATTATATGAGTTAATATACTGAACAGGTAGTGTAGAAGTCGAGTACAACTCAAAAACTGTGTATTTTATAAATAAAGAAAAATCGGAAACAATTAATAGTATAGGTACTTAAGTTTTCGAGTAAAAAGTAAACAGTCGATTCAAGACTTCGCTTAGTGAATTATTTAATGGAGGTAGGAATACAAAGCAAAACAATAACAATTTAATCGTTTTAAAGGTGGCATGGGAATAAAAATAAATATTGTTTTTAGTTTTTACTAATAGTAAACGTCGTATAACGATTGTAAAAACACAGAAAGAGTGCCCTAGCAGAGATGCATTTTATACACGGACTCAAACATCACAGCAATTAAAAACAAATGTACCTATATTATAAATTAATATGAAATAAAATGTTGAAAATTTATATTGTTAATTTGTTTTTATTTGTTGGTTTATATAATATATTATTTATACCATTTGTGTGTATGGGACATGGGTAGTAAATACTACACTATAGAGCGTTTTCAATTTCTCCACCACCATATTTCGACGTTTTTAAAAAAAAATATTCATGTACATAATATATTTGTGTGTGAATAGTGAATATAATGATAGAAGTATAAAACAAATTATTGGCTACTTAATCATAACGTCTAATCACTAAAATTTGAGAATTAAATTTGAATTTTGCGAGGAACCGTTGAAAATATATCATTGAAATGAATTATTATTTTATGTAGGTATATAAACTGACGGGATTGGATAAGTATTTATAGTTTATATTATTATTAAGTGTTCTAAATTTTATTTCAATACGTTGTCACGACTCGAGAGTGCTATTGGTCGGTCGCGTGATTTCCAAAATTGTATTTTCTTTGCAGTTTGTCCGTTGGCCACAGTTATAACTTTTATATTATAAATTCAATCCATTTGTAATTTTAATTTACAATAAAACCTCGCCAAGACGAATTCGCTTGGGACCGTCCAATTTTTCGTCTTAACGGAGTTTCCGACTTAGCGGGGCTCACATTCATTATGTATTTGAATCTGGACAAAATAAATTGTCCCCGGGGCTTACAAAAATTTAAAAATTCAAAAACACCGATGAATGATAACCATAACTGAAACTGATAACATTTCATTTGGAACACAATTTAAGATAGTACTAGCACACACCAATATCTGTGCTTTAGATAATATACTTGTATAATATTATGATCTATGATCTGTGAACTACTGACTATATAGGCAAAACACAGGGTGATATTATAATTAATTAATAAACTAATATCAAAAATAATTTTGGTATGAAAAATAGTAAAACTTGTTGTATAATTGAAATCAATTGAAATCCAAATTATAATAAAAATTATTTCGGATTTTAGTTTGCACCGTCCTCCCCGTCCAAGAAAAAAAATAGAAGGGGTACGTAAAAAAATAAAAAAAAGTAGGGGAGCTCCGTCCGCCTGCGTACCCCCTACAATTTGAACACTGATAATATCTCGAGTGTTATGTATATGTTTATAATAAATTATTCTTACCTATTTAATTAGAACCGTCGATTGTGTAATATTATTTAGAAATTGATTTTTTTCTTTTATCTCAGATTATAATATTGTCAAACAGGTTTTATGAAAGTTTTGATGACACGTTATATTAAGACACATATTAATACGTTACCCATACTCACCCATGTTTATTGCCTATTTTATATTATGACACTTGTGTATTGTTTAGTTGGGATACGGAAAAATGGAACAAAGCGGAGAGGGAATCCATTTGCGACAGTTTTCTAGGGCGTTTTTAATTGAAGATTCGACATCTAGAATAGCATTCGTCAGCATCGATTCCGCGATGATGGGTGATCAAATAAAGAAAGACGTGAGTAGAAAATTGAATATACCTATTAGCTATTATTTTATTATATTATAAACTATAATAATACAGTAGATTCTCAATTTGTAAGTTTTGTAAATTCTAAAAAAGAAAAATTTTTTGTCATACGATTTTTTCTTCAATATCCTTTAATAGAGTCCATATAAGTTTCTACCGATTGAATTACATATTATTATTATTATTCGTATTTTTAGAAATGACTGAGTTCACCAATTTTAGAATATGGCTTACAGAAATGATTAAATATTCATATTTTGTTAGTGTTAAACATGCAGTGAACAAATCACGTTTAAATTCAAACAGCATTCTTTGTCAGATTTATATAATAATAATAATAATATAATTGATCCTAAGCATTCACTTTTCAGGTATCATAACAATAATAAATAATATCAATTTCAAGTGCACTTTAACAGTCTTATAATATTATCATGGTACTTCTGAACGGTATTCTTTATTTAGATTACGATTTAAAAATTCCTGTTTTTCCTGATTATTTTTTTTAAAAACTGGTAATTTATAATTTAACTAAAAATCGAATCTTTTTTACTGTTTCCTAAGAGTAATAGCAAAAATAAAAAACAAAACAAAAACCAAACACATGGCCATTGTAAATCCAATACATTTATCGCCCCTTCTTAGAATTTAAAAGTGATTAAAATTTTAATTCAATATTTGAAGTAGGTACTTCGTAATTTATTATTTTACTTTTTACAACGCAATCCTATATTATTAATGGATATTGATGAAAACGTTCACGACGAACAATTATAATGTTTGTGGGCCGATTTGTCAAAACTTGATAACTGGAAATTTAACTGTACGTAGGTAAATTTAGAAAAAAACTGTTTTTTTTTTTGTCTTTCTACATTCGAGAATCTACTAAATAATATTATGATATTGTCGTAATAGTTTGATTGACGATGAAATATATTGCAATGTAATCAAACGACGAATACGATTTGAAGGTATTGAAAAAATTGAAGGAGAAGCTACCGGGCTTGTACGACACGAATAACCTTATGCTTTCATCGACACACACACACTCGACGCCAGGAGGTTATATGTTACATATGCTGTTTGACTTGAGCACATTGGGTTACGTTCAACAAACCTTAAACATTTTAGTAAAAGGTATTACATTGGTGAGTCTAATATATATAAAAACAAGTAATATTTGAATTCTCATAATATACACGACGCGTATTTGTAAAAACACCCATCATATTTGTTTTGCGAATGGCTTACGTTTCAAGGCGAATACTTTGCTCGACTTTTTTTTTTCGTTTCTTTTGATATTATACACTATACACTTTGAATAAAAAAATATTTGACTTTTTCCTACGTATTCAAATTTCTTTTTCGCGCGTACCAGAAATTAAAGATTTTCGTCACGATTCGGCTTTGATATTATAATAATATCATTATGCTGTTACTAGTGAATTTAAAATATCATTATACATCAATGGAAATACTACGGCACCTATATATGTTATAATATCCATTTAAAATATTAATAAAATAACACTATTATAATAATATGATGAGCAATGATGTTATTATTAGATATATTTTTTTTTTTTTAAAAGAGGTCTTTTTTATAATACCTTAACATTTTGTATACTTACACTGATATGATTTTTATAAATAGAGTATTCTACGGGCCCACGACAAATTAGATTATGGACGTATATTTGTTAATAAAGGTGAACTAAAAGGGATATCGATGAGTAGAAGTCCTCAGTCATATTTATTAAATCCGGAAGTCGAACGCGAGCAGTAAGTAGTATTTTATTTCATACCATACGTCATGCAATACATTCGTAGGTACCAATATATTATACGCAGATAGAAAAATATGATTGTTGTTGCTGATTAATATTTTTTATTGCATGCGGTAATAATAATAATAATAATAATAATTCACTAAGGATTTTAATAGAAAAAAAATATGCGAAGGTAATCGATTTTTGCTGTTGGCAAATATATAATCGTTTAATACACAGGCGCTCGGTGAGGGGTGAATGGGGGGCACTTTACCCCCCTCCAACTTTTTAAGATCAAACACGAGATATAATAGCAATATTTTCCATAATATTTTCCAATATTATTTATATTATATATAGGTAAATACTGAAAGGCGCCCATCATCTATCATATTATATCTTAACCCCATAAACCACCTTATGTATTCCGGGTGGAGGTGGCAAAGGGGGAATTTGACCCCTCTCCTCATCAATACCGTAGTCGCTCAGTATGTTTTAGCCCGTGTTTTCCCATGTCATGCCATAGTGCATGTAAACAGGTGTCGCAGATATTCATATTTCCATATAGACCAGCAGAATTCAGTATTTACAGACACGCGAGTTTATTGTAAACATTGATAAATAACAATTTTCAGAATAAAGTTACCCGCAGTATAGTTTAGTAGAACATCAGTTATAATTAAGTTTCTTTATCATAGTTTTAGTGATCGGGCTGACATGGGGACGAAACTCGGCTTGCAGGTGGCCTTTGTTTATTACAATATGTGCACAGGGAATTAAATTTAAATAATTTAAAACAGTCACTAAGTATAATTGGTGTTAGACCACTTTGTACATAACCAAACGCGTCGTTTAGAATTCGTTGAATAAAATGTAAAGATTGGTTTATGCTAAGCTATGGTTTGAATTAAAAAATATTTACTAGGTTTTATATGATAAATAATTGTAATAGTTAAGAGGACCAGCTTACACTAGCTCGTGTGTTGTATCTGTCTTACACACGTACGACATAGACAGAAATCGGTTACGTAGTCTGGGTAAACCTCTCTGAATTTTGGTTTTAGAGTAAAAATAAATATTGTAAAATTGAATTTCTGAGGGCAACTCGTTCGTTTTTTCCACTGTACCCAATATAACGTTTATTATATCGTTTAAAAATAGTAAAAATTTCAACATTTTTAAAATACCTCTAACTTTTCAAAATTTAATTGAAAAAAAAAAAAAAACGCAACGACTTGCCCTCAGAAATATTGCCACGATTCAATTTCATAATAGGTATTTTTACTCTAGAACCGAAATTGAGAGAGTTCTACTCAGACTGCGTAAATGATTTTTGACTATGTCGAACGTGCGGAAGACGGGCAGATACAACACATGCGGATGTGACGTCCCTTTAATGTAAAAGGTACCTTTCAGTTTAATGAAGTCATTATTAAATATCAGAAGGTACCTATTACCTATATATATTATAGTAATATTGCGGTACATTTGTACCAATATAATATTGTTGTAGTACGACGACCTCTCCCCTGAAAAATAATTGAGCTTTTGATCCATCAATGTACATTGTATTATCAGTATAATATTACAGTATAATAATATTAAGCACATGATAAGTGGCTCCTTTCGTTTGTTAATCGGATCTGCGCTGTTCATGATATTATAGATACGAACATAACGTCGACAAGACTATGGTGCAGCTGAAGTTTGAGAGCGAGTACGGTGTGCCGCTGGGCGTGATCAACTGGTACGCGGTACACGCGACCAGCATGAACAACACCAACAGGCTCATTTCGTCGGATAACGTCGGATACGCGTCGGTGTTGTTCGAGCAAAAGATGAACCCCGACAGTTTCATAGGCAAAGTGAGTGTCGCGAGGATGCATAATATATATTATAATGTCCTGCAGCCGGTATAGGCGTAACTGCGTAAGTATATAGGGACCAAGCCAAACACTTGAAGGTTTCACATTAGTACATCACATGAAAACATTTTCGTCTCTACGTACAAATCTCAAACACTATTGCCCGCAGGTTCTGGACGCTTATCTGGAGGCGATTAGATTTATTCGGAATGACTGATGGACACGTGTCTTTTTTTTTCGTACAGGGTCCGTTTGTGGCTGCGTTCGCTTCGTCCAACCTGGGAGACGTGACACCCAACATCAAAGGTCCTCGATGCCAGAAATCTGGAAAGCCCTGCGACATTCCCGGACCCTCGTGTGACGTCGACGAACTGTGCGTGGCTTCTGGCCCGGGTGACGACATGAGAGAGAGCACCAAAATAATCGCGAGACGACTGTTCGACAGAGCGTATGTGAGTTTGTTTTATAGGTACCTGTAGATTATATAGGATGTGCTGATATTATCTATTTGAATAATATTATGTACTAAAAATATTTACGAACTCATTTTATTCGTCATTTACAGCACTCTTATATAACTCATAAAAATTAAAATCACGTGTCACGTTATACAATTAATTGTATATTATTAATATGTATATAGTTAAGATTAAAGTTCTTGACTCCAGGCGTAAAGGTAATTTTTTATTATGTATTTTTCAGGAACTAATGTCTGAAAAACCAATCGTCGAGATCAAAGGACCGATTAAGTCCATACACCAGTTTGTGGACATGACCACGGAGGAAGTAGACTATAAGGTGCCCGGAGGAGAAATGGTCAAAGGAAAGGGGTGCAGACCTGCGATGGGTCATACGTTTTCATCGGGCACCATCGACGGGCCGGGCTTGTTCTCGTTCGAGGGCGGTTCCAAATCCTCGAACAATCCTCTCTGGGACCTAGTGACGAACTTCGTGCCCAAGCCTAGTCCAGAACAAGTGGAATGCCACGCGGAGAAATCGATTTTGATATCGACCGGAGAAGTTAGTGAAACCAAAAATACGACGATATTATAATATTATATAATATTACGGCCGTTGGACCGCAGTCGTGGTAATACTAGTTTTTCGGACGTATTTTTGTTTTTAGTTTAATTATCCGTTGGCTTGGTCACCGAAAATAGTTACCACTCAGTTGGCCGTTGTCGGACCGTTGATCATAGCTTGCGTCCCGGGAGAGTTCACGACCATGGCGGGGAGACGCGTGAGAAAAGCTGTCAGCGACGTCCTTTGCAAAAGCTCTTGGTGTACAGTAGTTATCGCGGGACTTTGTAATTCATATACCGATTACATAACCACACCCGAAGAATACAAGGTACGACAAATAGAAAATAGCATTTAATATTGTATGTAGTCGCGACACGATAGTCACTAACAATTAAAATAACATTATTTATGAATTTTAATTCTAAAGTTTATACACACGTTTAAGAGAAAAATGTATGGTTCAAATTTGAAGACATAGATCTCGCTGGGCCTAATAAAAAATAGTAAAACGTTGGATTGATTGGAAAGCTGGTCTAGGTGCCTATACTTTAAAATTACTTTGTATGTGACCATAATTGCATTCATTAAAGAGAGTTTTAAAATTAGGGAGAATTATTTTATACGTCTTAATAAACTTAGAAATATTTTCCAAACTATATTATGGGTTTATGTATATACTCGTATAAATCATATTTCTTCAAAGTACATGTTTGTTAGGAAATCACCGATATGTGCAGTTCGTAGATGAAAATAGGGATTATAGAATACACTAAAAATTAAAAATATACGGGTATAGGTATTAAAGTTCTTTTTTAGGGTTCCATACGGTAAAACGGGATCCTATTACTAATAAAGCTCCGCTGCCCGTCCGTCTGTCTGTCACCAGGCTGTATCTCATGAACTATGAAAGTTAGAAAGATGAAATTTTCACAGATTATGTATTTCTGTTGCCGCTATAACAACAAAATATATTATATTAATGATTCCAGAATATATAATTTATTTCACAACACTATATGCGACCTATTCTGCGCATTTAATGCGATCACCTAGAAAAAAATTGAAAATAGCAAAGTCTGTAAAATAATAATAATAATATTATATTGTTATTGAATTTATTTACAGCTGCAGCGTTACGAAGGTGCGTCCACGTTGTACGGACCGTACACGTTGCCCATTTACCTGAAACAGTATACGAAACTGGCAGAGGCGTTACTGAACAGTGACGTCAAACTGGACCCAGGTCCTGACCCGGTCGACCTGAGACCCGAAGTGTGGTCGCTACTGCCGTCTCCCATGCGCGACTCTCCGATGGGGCGTCACAGTTTTGGAGACTGCATCGAACAACCACCGTACTCGGCCACGTGGGGCCAAACGGTTAAAGCGAAATTTGTAAGTACAGCGCATTACTTTGTAGCCGTTTGGGTACGATTCATAGGTACCTACGATTTATATAGGTTATAGTCATCCTATATAGGTACAGTGATTGGTGCAATACGGTTTTGGATATAACGTCGTATGCTCCAACTATGCAAGCTTACATTTGTCGGTGCAATAACATAATATCAATGGTAAAAATAGGTAAAAATAGTTTTGTTGGTATACACAATAATATTGTGTGTTGTTCATTATAATATTAAATCACTACTAACGGATGAAGTCGAAATATTCCGGCAGTTAAAAAACTCGAAAGATACAAAACTTATGCGAATCGACTTTTGAATAATATTACTATCCATAATTTATTGCTGTAAACACCATAACTGAACTAAAAAATGTACTAATATCTCATTTTCATTAAAAAAGTTTGCATCATCACTATAGCTGTCTTCTACTACATACATATTACCCACTGATTATACAGGTTTTGAAGGATTTTTTAATCCAACCAAATTAAAAGTTATCTAATTAATTAATCTATTTAAAATTAATTTAACTATTAAACAATATTATAAATTTATAATCGACTATACCCTCAGTTACTTGATCGTATAAATTTAAGAATAAATGTACAGTAAAACAACGTGAAAAATTGTCATTCTATAATGATTATAACGAAAAATAACTTAAAAAATTCTCCACGTAATATGTCAATGTAACACTAAAAAAAATCTTAATTTTTAAAATTTATCATTTTCCGAGTTTTCATTGCAATTTTTTGTTTAAATCCGTTTTTATTTTAATTTATTATATTTATTTAATATAACTCACTGTAGATTATGTATGAATAAAATTACTTATGTAGGTACATGATATTTTATTAAGATACTTTAAACATATGCGATTATATTAATTACTTGTAAATTCGAATTAAAGGATATTATTATTTTTATTTAAGAATAAGTATTTTAGGAACTGCATTTTAAATAATCTGTTTGTAATATGTAGATGATATTATTAAATATTAAAAACAGTTTAAATTAAAGTATATTATTAAAAAAAAAAAATAGCTCGATTTCTTATGAACGAAACTATTAATTGTGAAATTAAATATAAATTGCACTTGACATACATAAATGCTCTTATAACTATCCATATATTGAATCTTGGGCTGGTGTTCGTTGAACATATAGGTAGCAATATAATATGATTAAATTAAACGTTGTAATTAACTAAATCTTTATCAATAAATTCAAGGAGTATATAAAATTTTTGGTGGCAATGGAATTGGGGTTTAGAATTTTACACTTCGCTAAATGATAATCATTTCATACATTTTCTTGTCGTTTCCAGGTATCAGGTCATCCTAGGAACAACCCCATGTTGGAACAGACGTTTTTGACGGTTGAACGGCTCACGGACGATTTAAATTGGGACATCGTCGCCACTGACGCCAATTGGGAAACCGAGTGAGGAGACAATAGCGCGTTTTAGTCGCAGTTTTCTACAGAATTCACAAGACTTATTAAGTTTTATATGATTTTCCACAGATTCATATGGAAGTCCGTTTCGTGGATTTGGGCCAGCAGTGTAGCGGAAGTCAAATGGACAATACCCGAAAACACTACACCAGGGCTCTACCGCCTTAGGCACTTTGGATATTTTAAAATGTATTTTGGAGGTGGCAGGCTCGGGAAATACTTTGGCACTTCGGAAACGTTCAAAGTGTCCAAGAGTTAGTGCTAACGTCAGTTTTGTTTCAAAACACAGATACATCATTAAATTTTTTCCATTTTACCTTGAGAGTATGTTTGGTAACAGTTCCTGGCTATAATATTGTTAAAATAAGAAACCCACTTTTTCCCTCCAAATGTCAATTTTGATTTATATAATATTTTTATGATACGATTATTGCATACATTATTAAATCATTTAATATAATATACGTGTTACACAATAAGAATATGATATTAGTGTAAATCGATTTATAATAGTTGGGGGCGCCGTTCACACTTATCATAAAATAATATTGGTAAGACCTAATGACCAATATAATATTATTATAATCATGTCGATGAAAAACAAAATTGTGTACTCAAAATATTTATACCTATATTATAGGTATATTGTTCATTATTTGATACGATTAATAATATAGGTAATATAGGTCTATAAGTGATACCGACGTCATAATATTAAAACCTACAGTTATATAATAATAATATTATACTTGTAAGTCAGCATATTATTTTGTTGATAGGTACTGTTTGATAATGTAAAAATTAAAAAAAAAAAAAACAGTAAAAAATACCAAGTATGCCAATTATCAGCTTATATGTCTTGTTTGAATTACTTTTTTAAACTTTTCAACAAATTTCGTGTATTAATAAATATTTAATTGTATTTATATTTAAAAATTATTACATTTCTAACATCAATAAAATTTTTGATGAGAAAGTGAATATAAATTTCTAGTTGGTACTCTAAGGGGCCCAAGTAAAAAATGCCCAGTTATATTCAATAATAATGGGAAGAACAAAAAAAAAATTAGGAAAATCATCATCGACCGATGCCCCATTGCTGCCGCCGAACATGAAAATGAGTAAAGTTCTGTAGATGGATTGCCATCGCACACGATTTAACGGCGTTTTTTTTTTTTTTTTTTTGCGGCGATGGCCGTCATTTCCCGATAACAGGTGGCCATAAATGGTCATTAACTAGTTAAAAAATTATTATTATTTTTTTTACTTTTTATTTTAACCAGTTACTTAATTAACAAATTAACTTATGAACTTAACAAGTTTAATTGACAGTTGAAATAGTTAAGCTTTTACTAGTTGATTTAAAAATAATCACAAACATATTTTATGTTATTTTTATTGATAAAATAACTTTGTAAAAGATAGAAATATTTTAGTACATTAGAGAGGCATAATATTATATGACTTTCAACTGCTATATTTGAATTAAAAAATTAATATTTGTTAAATTATTGTTAATTGAAATTTGTATAGTTTAAATATTTAATATAGGTACGTCATGCGACGTACACAGTATACACCTATGATAAAAGTTCGATAAAGTTGTATATTTTAATTTAGGTCATTCGAAAGAACGTAGTCACTCTTCATGTGATTCACATACTAATTTCAAAAAATAGGCCAACATTTTTTTAAAGTGAGTCAGGTTTTTTTTCCGTATTAACTTTTGACTTATCGAATTAAATTTATGATTTCTCAACTGTTAACTTCTTTGGGTGTCAGGTATGTATATTTATATTATTTATTATTGTTATTAACATTTGAATTAATACCAACTTATCGTAACTTACAGTTACCTATTAATAGTTACCTCGTATATAAATAGGGAACAGCATACAATTATTGTAGATATAAATGTTTTAAAATTTTAATTGTGGATATACATTAAATAATATACCCTAACAGTTTTGAATTAGAAAAATATGTTTGAATTAGATACAACAAAATCATTAAAACCATTATTCTTCTTATATTAAAGTCATGCTTTAATAACTTCTTTATTACAGAAGTCATACTATAGTTATTGTCTATTATGTTTTCCGTATTTTTAATAAAACGATGTATTCAATAAATTATACTCCATAAAATGTTTAAATATACATTTAGGTATTTTAAATTATAATGTATCGACCGCAATATTCAACAGTTCAGTATACCTACTCATACTTTTGCAGGTAGATAAATAATTAAATGTATTAAATGTTTTAAAATTGTATACAATTAACATTAAACACTTTCTGAAAACAATTTAAACGGTTTAATCGACTTCTTCGACGTTTGGTCCTTTTGCACCAGCTTGATGTAGTTTGGTCATGATCGGTGAACACTCTTTTTGCAGGTCCTTCAATTTATCTTCAAACTCGTCTTTATCGGCTAATGTGTTTGTTTCCAACCACGTGATCACCGCTTTACAGCTACAAATTGAGACACAGACGTATTCAATTAAAGTGCATTTTTACAATATTACATAATACTAAACAATAGCGGATTTGTTACCTTTCCAATATAGTTTTCTTGTCCGTCTCTGGTAGTTTCGAACCAGCTTCTTCGATCGCTTGTTTGACACTAAACGCGTAGCTCTCCAATTGGTTCCTGGCGGTAACGCGTTCCTTTTGTTTTTCGTCCTCCTGTCTATACATCTCCGCTTCCTTCAACATTTTGTCAATATCTTCTTTGGACAACCGACCTTTGTCGTTCTTTATGGTAATCCTTTCGGATTTTCCCGTGCTGATTTCCTTGGCGGACACGTTGAGAATACCGTTGGCGTCCAAGTCGAACGTCACTTCGATTTTTGGCACACCACGTGGTGCAGGAGGGATTCCCGTCAAGTTGAACGTGCCCAATAAATTGTTGTCCTTGGTCATTGCTCGTTCACCTTCGTACACCTAAAACAATAGTTAAGCCCGGCTCGAACAAAGCATACAACAACAACAACAATGTCCTAAGTAGAAAGTGGATAATATCATAAATGCACACCGTTATCGTGACAGCCGCCTGGTTGTCGGAGTACGTAGTAAATGTTTGTTGTTGTTTGCACGGTATGCGAGAATTGCGTTCCACAAGTTTGGTCATTACGCCACCTGCTGTCTCGATTCCGAGTGACAGGGGAGTGACATCAACCAAAAGTACGTCTTGGATTGCCGAACTGGTATCGCCACTGAGAATGGCAGCTTGGACGGCAGCTCCGTAAGCCACGGCCTCGTCAGGATTGATGGACAGGTTTAGAGATTTACCGCAAAAGAAATCCTGCTCCGAAACGACGTGTAGGTAATTATTAATATAAATAGATTAACACATTCAAATAACTACCTACTTAAACAGTAACGACAGGGCAGTACGACGAAACAAAGAAACCGTAAATGGTGGAAATAATTACCTATGATACAACGTACCTGTAGCTTAAATATATTATGTATAATACAATATTGTTGTGAATATAAATGTTGATAAATACAAATCGTCAAAATAACTTTTTTTTTATGTATAATCAGTAAACTTACAAGTTACAACCAAAATTGAATTTTACTATCGTCATTATAGAAGGTATATTACGTGTCATACTATATAATATTATATTATGCAATTCTATAATATGCTTTAAATATAATTTAGACATTATGTAATATAAAACTAAAATAAATACGAATAAATAATTCTTTTGATGCCCACTTTTAGAGTTAGGTACCCACAATCTATACTACTACAATCACACAGGCAAATAGGGGAGGGTGACCCACCGCCGTTAAACCACCGCTGTATGACAATGTACCTATTTGATTAAAATACCTACCAATTGGTTATAAATATTACAATTTTCAATACCCATAGAATATTGTACCTAATATAATATTTATTATTGCCATACAAATTTCCTATTGAGTTATTGTAATAATATAATTTCGGTATTTATGGTTCGCCGTTTCGAATCAACTATAATATTTCTGCATACCTTTACCATACCGCTACCGCGGCGGTGGTTACAGAAAATAAAAGCCAAACAATCAACACTCACCTGTAACATTTTCTGGATCTTCGGTATTCTAGTCGAACCCCCGACCAGCACCACGTCGTGTATGCTGCTCTTGTCCATTTTCGCGTCGGCCAGTGCTTTTTCCACGGGAGAAAG